GAATGTAATACCCCGTATCAAAATGGGAATGGAAGGGCTCAAAAGGATTGATAGTACTACTTATACCAACAAGGTGCATCTTCTTTTCGAGAGCTCATCACCTAGAAACTCCAGAGTTAAGCGTGCTTGACCTGGAACAATTCTAGGATGGGTGACCCCCTGGGAACTTTCCTTGGGCGCGCACGAGTGAGGACAAAGTGCGCGGGAAAGACTTGTGTTGGTTTATGGGGCCAGTCTACAATCCTATGAGCAGACCCTTACGGCTAGGGTGGGGGCCGGGGTGTTACACTCTTATTTTATTTGGGGCTGTTTCTTTTCACACAATAATATTCACTATTATTATAAAATAAGGACATGATGTTCAAATGAAAGGTGTTAATATAAATATGTTTATTTAAGCTATTTTTCTCCGTGATCACATGCTGTTGTTGATTGTATGTTAATGTGGTGCTATTGTGTGAGTTAATGCTGGCTTAGGTATATATATTTTTCACTCAGCGTTTCGCTGAGCGTGTAGTCGTTGTTTGACTGCACGCAGGTAAGAACACAAAATTTGATGGGCAACCCGGAGGGCAGTGAAGTGGTGGTGGCGTGGATGGCTCTTGTTTACTTTAGTAATTCAACTACATTATTTTATTTGATTATATGGATTGTTGGACGTTACTTTGGTTTTATTATGCTTCCGCGACTTTTGGACCTGTTTTATTACTCCGATAAATTTTAGTTTAGTTTTAAACTCTCACGTATGAATTTATAATTTATTAAGTTGGTTATTTTTTAAAAAAAATTATGCATGCGAATACCAATTTAGTAATAACCCGGTTCGCTAACCTGTTGGTTCGGGTTACGCGGGTTGGGTAGTACAATATTTGCTCTAATAAGATATTTTCATATTTCATATTAAAATTGCCAAGTCATGTAAGTCACCAAAAGTGACGGATGATGTGTAAAAAAGTTGCCAAGTAGGCTGCCCCATGTCAAGTTTTCTCAGAGTTCAACTCTCAAATTTCATATATAAAGATAAAGATTTGAGAATCCATTTTGTACTTACTAATTCGTCTTGGGCTCTACTTCCCAATCCCATCACTCACCGCGTGAGAGGCGGCTTTGCACTCAAATGAAAACCCTCTCCTAAACCTCACGGACTGTTTGGAAATTCAAATTCTAAAGGAATCGAACTCAATACTCTCTAATACCTCCTAGGGGTGGACACGGTACCGGTACGGTACCGTGACCGGTAACGGTACTGCTGGTACCGACCACCGTCACTGCCGGTCAGGACGTACCACCGGTTTGGGGAACCGGTACGGGTATCGCCCCACTCGGTACCGGTTCCGGTACCAAAATTTTGTTACCGGCACTGCCGGTACCTCTCATTCTCTTAATTTATCAATCTCTCAAATCTCAATCTCTCAATCTTGTTATCTTTTTTTAATTTTTATACATTTAATATTCATATAATAATAAAAATAAATATTAATATATTACATAATAACCTATAAATGCATTCATTATTCATATTATCAATTATCATATATTTTTAGTTTATTACTAATATTAAAATTTCGAAATTTTTGAAATTTAGTACTCATATAATTAATTTTTAGATATATTCTTTAAATAATTTATATATATATATATATAATTTTTTTTAAATATATTATAGTTTTTAAAACATTTATAATTTTCGAAATTTTTGAAATTTTAATATATAAAATTTAAAATTTTTTTAAATTTTCAAAATTTAATATATTATTTTTTTAATATCAAAAAAATATATATTAAAATGTCGAGAGAGTTCGGTAGAAGGTCCGTGGATATGGGCGCCGTGAACCGATGTTTGAGGAGAGGCAAATGCTAAAGCCACCTCCGACGGTTCGACCTCACGCGATTCTCGAAGAAGACACTTCGTCTCTTCCTTTCCTACTATCCCCGATCAATTCATCGGGGACGGTATGACGGATGAAGATTTCGACAAGTACATTTCTGGTAGAGGGGACGTGAATCTCCCCACTCTTGATAGTCTATTCGAGGATGTTGATGAAGCAGGACTGGACAATCTGGACGGGGACGAGGAGCCTACACTGCACAGCAACGACGTCGACGTGGAGGCAGGTGAGCTCGAGACCTCTCGAGGTCCGGACAAAGGTAAAAAAAATTAAAATCAGATTTATTTGTTTATCATTTTGAAAAAGAAACAAAAGATGACATAGTTTATGGAACTTGTAAGTATTGTGGGACCGTCATTAAAATGGGAGTTTCCGGCGGTTATGGCGGTCCAGAAAAACACCTAAGGTCGAGGCATCCCGTGAAGTACGCCAAATACGCGGCGAAAAAGAAGGGACAACAAGAAGTGCAAACACAAATTTCTCGGTTTGCTAACAGGGGTAAGGGCGGCCTTTTTGCTTATAGCGACGAGCAAAATAAGCAAAAAATGGCCGAAATGATTTGTGAAGAAAATTTTCCTTACATGTTTTCTGAAAAAATTGGATTTATTGATTATTGTCAACAGGCATTAAACCCTCAAGCAAGAGGTTTTTCAAGAAAAATAATTAAACGAGAAATTATTCGCCAGTATAAAATTGAAAAAATAAATTTGGCAAATTTTTTTCTCAATTTTAATTCTCGTGTTGTTATTTGTTCTGATATTTGTGGTGAAACATATCATAATTTGTCTTATATGGGTGTTTTACTTGTAATTGGATAGATAGTGATTGGATTATGAATAAACGTGTTCTTGCATTTCGTGATTTCAATGATTCTCATATTGCTGAAAATATTTTTCTATTGCTTCAGAGTATTCTGCGGGAATACAACTTAGCTGATAAAGTTTTTGCATTTGGTTTTGATAATGGTACTAATAATACGGCTGCTATTCCTAGACTTAGAGAAATTTCTCCCCTACTACGACTATGGGTAGATTTCTGCATCAACGGTGTGCCTGTTATGTTTTAAATTTATGTGTTCAACAGGGACTAGAAGCTATGGGGGGGTTTGACGAATATTAAAGAAGAAATTAGAAAAATTTGGGGGGCTCGTCTTATTTCGAGTTCCTGGAAGATATTCTGTAAGTCCAAGGGTAGAAAAGAAATAACATTTGCCAAAGATATCAACATTAGATGGAATAGTACTTACAAGTTGATAGCACAGATTCTAAGCTATAAAGAGGAACTTGCTGAATTTTTTAGGGATGAACTTCGTATAATCATTCCACCTTTTGAATTTGTTATTGTTGAAAAATTGAATGCCGTATTAGAAGTTTTTAAAAACGCAACTCTTACTTTTTCGCATGTTTACCAACCAACTACAAATACATTTTTAAAGAGTGTGTTACAATCGCAACATGTTTTCGTGAAAGTATGGCTGATGAAGATTTGTACCCTTATGTCTCTCTTATGAGAGATATATGGTGTGCTTATTATTTGTACTGATATTTACAAAATAGGTATTATTTGTGATCCACGCTTTAAGATTGAAAAATTTAAAATTCTAATTGACTAGTACTATACTTGTTTTTTAGATGAAAATAGTTAATACTACAGCCATTTAATAGAATGGAAAAATGAAAGAGATAATGCTATAACTCTTTTTGAGAATTTGTTTAAAGAATATCAAGGGTTATACAGTACTGTACCAGAAGAAACGGCACCACCTCTACCCCCAAATCAAAAAAAAGTTTTAAAGGAATAGTCGGTGGGCTTCTTGCAAAAAGGGAAGCGTGCTCAGCCTTTGACGAGTTCAAGTGGTACAACAGTAAGCTCGCACAACGAACTTGCTATGTACCAAGGGGTGCCATGCGATTACAACGACGACGACGACGTGGAGTTTGACGTCCTCGGATGGTGGAAGCGGAATGAACACATGTTCCCATGTCTCGGAATGCTAGCAGGACAAGTGTTGTCCGTTCCGGTATCAACCGTAGTAGTTGAATGAGAATTCAGTGCTGGCGGCAACATTCTAACCGACAACCGAAGTTGTCTTACCGCTAAATCTCTTGAAACACTTGTTTGCAACCAAGATTGGCTCTTGGCAAGATGTCGAGCTCAAGAGTCAGCGTACGAATTCAATTCGGAGCATTACATGAATGCAACCACAGATGGAAGCCCTAGTTCTGAGGAATAAGTTATAAACTTTTTTTTATGTTAATATAAATATGTAATTAGTTTTTAGGTGAGCGATATATAATCTCATTCAAGGGTTTCTTTACAGTTCTTTACCTCGTCGCTTTTTTTGAACCGTCAGGATATTAAATGCAGTTGTTCTTCAGTTCGTGTATTACTCATTTTACAGTATTTAAATAACAACTACTCCCTCCGTCCCGCTATATTCGTCCACTTTTGACTTTTGGAACTGTTGATCTAAGCACCTTGACTCATCAAATTTTCTCAATGTGTAAGCCTAAATATAGTCATGCGTGATCTTGTTTGATTTGTCTTAACATATAGACTATTAATATATAATTTTTATAATTTTTTAATATACAAATTACAAGATAAAATGGATTAAAGAAGTGTATTGGATGGTGTGTAAAAATGAAAGTGGACAAATACTTTGGACGGAGGGAGTATTTTTAGATTTTTTATTTCATTCTTTCCTTAAACAATTGCAAATTTACAATTTTATACTTTAAAAATTTTAAAAAAAGCAAAAAAAAAAGGGGGGGGCGAAACCGGCCGGTCCGGGAACCGGTAACGGCCTGTCCGGTCACGGTACCGGTACCAAGAGGTGGCGGTACCGGAACCGGCCCGAAACCGTACCGTGTCCACACTTAATACCTCTCCCAATATAATTTAGACCATGCTAGGATACCGCCACATGGATGCTACCATGCGTGCACTTATGCTTCACACAGACAAACACAGACGATAATTGTCTGTGCGACACAGACAATTATCGTCTGTGTTTGTTTATGGCAGGACAATTTTCCATATCATTTTCCATATAATTTTCCTATGCGATCGACATATAGTATATGCTATTTGCTACCGTAAAAGCTTAGGGGGCGTACGAAAGCAGGAGAGGCGGCGGCGGCAACCTGACGCGCTGCTCAGGGACAGTTTTCTCGAACCCACCACACAATGGCATTGGTGACTAGTAAAGCTAATCCATTTCTCTCAACTCTATCCCACTTTCTGGCTTGGCAGAGATTGGGCTTCCGCACTATATGCAGCGGCCGCCAAGTCTTGGCAACTTCCACTGTGCTGTCACCAATTTCCGGTCCAGGAACTACCGCGGCTGGTACAAAGATTCTTGAAACCTTTACGGAGGAATTCGAAGTTGGTTCGCAGAAAATTACTTTGGAAGCTGGGAAAATAGCTCGGTTTGCTAACGGTTCTGTGGTTCTGGCTATGGATGAGACCAAAGTTCTCTCAACCGTGGCCTCTGCAAAGGGCGAAGCAGTCCGCGACTTTCTACCACTCACTGTATGTTTATTAGTTGGAAAATAATCACCAGATCTTACATGTTCTTACTCCAGTAATTACTGTTTCCTGTGAAGCAAACGATCCGCATGAAAATTGTATTGCTACTATAATTTGATCATGAGATTTTGTTTCCAGAAAGCCTAATTATCTAGGCAGCATCACGGATGTAGATGAAAAATCTGCTTTTTTCATGTCGCTTGGATTATTATTTCTTTTAGAGTTATCGACGTTATCTTTTCTTTGTATTGCGATTTCTGTGCTATAACACTGATAGTCAAAATGCTCTAAATTGGCGGTCTTGGTGAATTTTTTAATGTTTATGCATCTTCAAGGTTGATTACCAAGAGAAGCAATTTGCTCAAGGTTTAATACCAGGCACATTCATGCGGCGTGAGGGTGCTCCAAAAGAACGTGAACTTCTTTGTGGTCGTCTCATTGATAGGCCTATACGCCCCCTTTTTCCGGTTGGATTTTACCACGAGGTGCAGGTATGTTGATGCTAATGAAATGTACCTACTATAGCTAGTTTGTTGAGTTATACGGTGGACACCATTCCTATATCCACCTAGAGTTTTTTTTAGCACCCTCCTTTAACTAGAAATACAAGGCTTAAATAGAGTCTTAGTGACCAAGAAAACTTACTTTCAACAAAACACATAACTTGAATAAAAGCAATTTGACTGATGCCAAACATCTGTTGCCGAAAGCCTAAATCAGTTCCCCTATAAGGCCCTGTTGGGTATAACATTGCAACCTCCGTTTGCAGCTAAATATTTCAAATGCACCTTAGCAACTCCAAAATGGAGCTGTTGAAATCATTGTAGCAGTTCACCCGCATTTTTTAATTCCAAAAATTTTCCCAACTTTTATAAAATGCGTAGTTTCTTCTCTTGCTCAAATATCCCTTACTTTTTAAGTAAATGCCATCATAAGTAATTTTATATTACCATAACAATGCTCAAACCAATGCCAAACCCTAGAATTTCCTAACAGTAGCAGCTACAAACAGCTCAAAAGGAACAAGCCCTGAGTCTTTTCTTTCTGGCAACTCTTCTATCTTGTGTTCCCTTCCCTTTCGCGTCCTTCATTTGTTAGTCCTGTGTGCGAACATATCATTCTCCTTTCTTTTTCCGGCGACAATTAACCTATGTTGACCGACAATTGACCAGCATTGACTGTGGCATATAGCATTTCTCTACTTTTGTGTTCACGTCAGTGTCTTTCATACAGCTTGTGTCATGTGTCCAAAATTGGTAATCGATTAATCACGGATAATGGATTTTAGAAAATAGCGTAAAATGTTTTGTGAAAGTGACAAACAGATAGTATTATGTGTACTGTTCAATTGCTCAAATAAGATCCAACTGTGGCCACATAACAAACCACCACAATTGAGGCTAAGCACTTTGATGACAAACTTTTGCAATTATGAAGCTTGTGCATCATAGTTTTCCCATCATTCTATCGGAGACAATATAATTCTTTGTCTAGCTTTTCTAGCTCAACAATGTAAGTAACCAAAGTGTGAATAGATTCTACGAAACCATCCTCCATCTCTCATCTACAAATAAAATCAAATTTGAATAGAAGAGTTGTGGATTCATATAATGTTCTGCATCAAGCAAACTGCACAGGGTGATGGAGTGGATAGCTTCAAGCTATATATACAGAGTAATTCCTTAGGAATAAGTATGCCATAAAAAATAGTCTTTCATTCTTTGCATCTAACATTTTCCAAGTTTCCAATTGCTTGAATTAGTTTTTTCCAGGTAATGGCAAGTGTTCTTTCATCCGATGGAAAACAAGATCCAGATGTAATGGCGGCCAATGCAACATCTTCTGCTTTGATGTTGTCAGATATTCCCTGGGGCGGTCCCATAGGGGTAATTCGTTTAGGGAGAATCTGTGGACAAATAATTATCAACCCAAGCATGGATGAGGTAGTGGTCTAGTTCCATACATTTTATTTTGTTGATGTGTTATACAAATTCTTCTTGTATTTACTGAATGGTATATCCACCATCCTGAATGATATCCAGCTAAACTTAAGTGATCTCAACTTGGTATATGCATGCACAAAGGATAAAACTTTGATGATAGATGTCCAGGCACATGAAATTTCCGAAAGGGATCTGGAAGCTGCTTTGAGACTGGCCCACCCTGAGGTTGGTAATCACTGCCACCGCTGCTTGAATGCTAGACTTTCTCTCTTTACTCCTTTATTGAATACCATAATATTCATTTGCAGGCTAAAAAGTATTTGGAGCCTCAAGTTAGGCTTGCAGCTAGAGCAGGCAAGCCAAAAAAAAGGTATAAACTTTCTATGGTGTCTGAGAGAACACTTGAAAAAATACGGAATTTGGCTACAGAACCTATTAAGGCTGTCTTTACAGATCCCACTTATGGCAAGGTAGATAATAAGATACTGTCATGTTAAATGACATCATAGAACCTACAATCCCTAGTTTCTGTTTGATGCCAGATTGTTTCCTACACACACAAATTACGCTTGTTTTCTTGATCAGTTTGAGCGAGGAGAAGCATTAGATAAAATAACACAAGATGTTAAAAGATCACTCGAGGAAGAATGTGATGAACAAGGCTTAACCGTGTTGTCAAAGGCTGTTGACACAGTGCGGAAAGAGGTATGAATTAACATATTAAGCCATTTCTTTGAAATCCATCCAAATAAAGTTGCACTGTGTTTCATTTTTTACTTTTATGCAAGTCCCAGTTGAAAAATGAGCCTCCTTAATACTAAGAATTGCCAAGAGGCTACCAAAAGAGTACTCTCGCGTGATGCAGATTTGTCAAAATAACTCTCAAGTCCCTCTATTTTCAAAAAGGAGGTGCTTCAATTTTGTTGTAATGACTAGGAGGGGACATTCTTTCTAATATTTCATCCATAGGCATTAATAAATGCACTATCTTTTTTGTCCTTAATGTTTTATGGTAATAACTTTTAGGTCCCTCACTTTTTTGTTTATTTATTTCATTTTTTTGCTTCTCTTTATTTCACTTCGTTTCCTTTTTTATAAAAGTTTTTTTTAAAGTGAAAGAATTTAGGATGGGGAAAGGGTTACCTGATTGGGCAATAAGACACTTGGGCTGAACCACATTAAAAGATTGAATCCAATCGATTACTTAGTTCAAGTCAAGAGCTTATATAGCGATTTATTTTCTCTTCAACTTTCGATGTGGGATACTCTTTAGCACTCCCCTCAAGTGGACAACCGGACCATTTTGAATCTAACTAGTTGATGACTTGCAAATGGACCCCCCTCCCAATAAAATGAAAGGATCGAAAGTGCCAACACCTAAAGGACCATGAATTGCTAAAAGTGGACTTCCAGACGAACAATCGGGTTATATGTGCCACATGCCGTTTTCCATACGAACAACTGGGCTAAAGACAAAGGGGCCACTAGGAATGAACTTCTAGACGGACACCTTAACAAATGAGGTGGGCTAAAACAGGATCTAATACGATGAACGAATTTAGGATGGGGAAATGACCTTACCAATAAAAAAATACTACCTCCGTCCCAGAGTATTTGTCCACTTTCATTTTTACACATCATCCAATACACTTCTTTAATCCATTTTATCTTGTAATTTGTATATTAAAAAATTATAGAAATTATATATTAATAATCTATATGTTAAGACAAATCAAACAAGATCACACATGACTATATTTAGGCTTACACATTGAGAGAATTTGATGAGTCAAAGTGCTTAGATGAACAGTTCCAAAAGTCAAAACTGGACGAATACTCCGGGACGGAGGGAGTAAATGCAATAAGGACCTTACCAAAAAATGAGATCTCTTTTTATTTTTAATACTTTGTACAAATTGTTAAAAAGGAGAACCTTGAGGACTTTCTTAGGAAAACAATTTGCTTTATTTTTCTATTTTTTATTTTATTTTACTCGATATTTTCTATTTTAGGCATTTTGTATTTCATTTGTTTTTTATATTGTACAAACAACTTTGATTTTTTGATACAATTTTCTACATGGTAGTCAAACTCTAGATTCTACGTAGGATCGATAGGCCTAATGTAGATCGTAGCATCGTAAGATCGTGAATCGGATCGTAAGATCATACTACATATACATACATACATACATAGATATATATATATATATATATATATATATATATATATATATATATAACTTTAATAAAACATAACACAAGTTGAAGTTGGGCTTGGGCTTGGGCTTTTAAAAAGCTAAAAAATCAAAGTCTTGAAAACTTGGGCTTTTCCCATTCAAAAGTGACAAAATCGAAGTTTTGAAACTTGGGGCTATTCAAACCTGGAAGTCGGCTTAAAACTTGGAAGTCGCGAGATTGGAATTGGGAGTTGCGACAGACGCTACGTTTTGGTCTTTGGGAGTCGCGATTGATGCGATTTGAATTGGAATTGCGTTTTGGTCTTTGGGCTTTTCACAATCACCTTGCACGATCCGGATCGTTGATCCGACCGACCTGATGAATTTTCGCGATTCTGAAGGCGAGTTGGATCGCTTTCGATCTCTGGACTCATAGAATCGTACGAGTCAGATCGCGATCTTGACTACCATGATTTTCTAGAAGAAGTTTGAAAAAAAGAGAAACATAAAAAGAAATACAAAGAAACCAAATAGTGAGGGACCTAAGAGTTATTACCATAAAGTATTAAGGGCAACAACAACAGCAAAAACAAAAACTCAGTTGGATCTCACAAAAGTAGGGTCTAGAGAGGGTGTGTTCATAGACCTTGCCCTTACTCGAAAGTAGAGAGATTGTTTCCAAGATGTTGTACCCAAACTTAGGATAAATAAACAGGAATTGATTCACTCAGGGTTCAGAGGTGTAAGATAATCGATTAGCACATTTAGTAAATCGATTAATAGAGTTTGGCTCAAAACTGGGAATGTTCAGAGGAATCAGATAATCGATTGACACAACAAGACAATCGATTAATAAGGACTTACTCGGAACTAGGAACTTTCTGAGGGTAAGGATAATCGAGTATCAATTTATTGACAATCGATTATGTGAAGTTGTGGATTTTGAAGAAGAATCAGAGGGCTACAATAGTCGATTATCAAATAAGGATAATCGATTATTTAGAGGTTCAGAATCAGGATTAGAAGAAAAGAAGGGAAATGTTTTGTGGTTTTTGTATAAGGATAAACCAAATAATATGTAAGAGATAAACACACTCTTTATATATATTTGGGGCTATTATCTATTTTATACAATAATAATCACTATTAAAGTATTAAATAGACTCCTAACACACACTCAAAAGTAGCCAACTTTAGAGATATTTCATTAGGAAATGGATTGAACTAGCTTCACACCAATTCAGGGAATACTTCAAGAGTAATATTAATAATGAGAATGAGATGGATTACAAGGCCTCATGGCCGAAATATATATAATGCAAAACAAGGGAAATTACACTTTACTTTCCTACAAATCATGTGATTAATATTCATGTATTATTAATCTTAGTGGGCAGCACTCATTGACCAGGAAAAGGAGGTTAAAAGGCTGGGATTTTTGGCTTAATATGGATCATTAATTCCTACCATGTGAGAAGGGAATCAAGGAAGGTTGTAACTTTGACAATTAAGGCTAATATGACAAAGTTTGCACTATTTAATCAATGGTTTTGATTCCTTGATGTTTTTATCTCTATCCTTGGTAAATGGGGTTGTGTTTATGGATATTTGGAGTGGGAAATTCGGCCATATGCTGAAGGATATGAAGGGGATTGGGTTTTGAACAAGACAAAATCAGCACTATTCAATCAAGGAAAACTTTTTCCTGATTTTGTTTTTGTTTTGTGAATTGAATTTTGTCTTGATCAAATCATAATGTGGCCTGATTTTTGGGTAAAAGAGTTGGGAAATTCGTGGGTTTGATGTAGGGAAGTGAAAGGAAGGTTTTATTTTAATTAAAAGGAACAAAAGAAGTAGAAACATTACACAAGGTTTGTCCTTCTGACCTCATTTTTTGTTCAGGGCTAAAAAGGAGAGAAAAGACTTTATTTTGTTCATTAAATGAAAATAAAAGACTTTGGATATTTTGGGAAGGATATGGAACGGTTTGATATCAAGAAAGGCTTTGGAGGAGAAGGGTTATGGTTTGGGTTTTAGGGTACGAAAGGTTAATGAGTTTAGCCCAAAAAGGATCATAACACTTAGATATTAACTCTTTGATTTGTTTTATGGTTTGTGGTGTAGCCTCCATGCTTGTAGGAGCATCCCGGGGTACATCACAAGAGACCCCCAGCTCACGCTGAACATATAGTAGGATCACAGTAGCTGCATAAGGCAAAGAAGACAACAAATACAACACTAGCATCCCAAAGTCAAAGAACAAAATAAAGTTAACGAAAAGGAAAGTATTGCAAGCAAATAGAACCAAGCATATATGAGGCATAAAAAGCACACAACAACATCAAGTACAATAGACCACCCCTAGCCCAAGGCACCTACTCAATTACTCTAATCTTAGCTCTCCAAACGCCCGTAAGGTCATATTCTCTATAAGGGAAAGAAGTTCTAAACCACCTCCCTACCAACATTTACCTCTTGCATCTCCGCATTGTAGCGTCAACATTCCACCATCTCACATGACCGAACCACCTCAACCTAGCTTCCTGCAACTTCTCATCCATTGGTGCTATGCCTACCCGACCTCACCTCGTTCAGAATCCTATCCAGCCTCGTCTATCCAGCCTCGTGTGCCTACACATCCAGCACAACATCCGCATCTCCACCGCATGCAGACGACACATGCGAGTCTTCTTAATCTCCCAACACTCCGCCCCATATAGCATAGCGGGTCTAACTACGGACCGGTAGAACTTACCTTTCATCCTAGGCGAGATCTTCTTATCGCACAACATTAAGGGGAAAATATAAAAAAATGCATTTAATTACACCTATGGGTGGAGCATTGGATGGAATGTCCCCTCCTAGGCATTACAAAAAATATTAAGAGCCTTTGTTGCCTTCTTGAAAATAGAGAGACCTTAGAGTTATTTCGACAAAACTTGCATAGCCTGTGAGTAATTTTCTGAAGAAATCACTGTTCGTATTGGGTAGATTTGACTATTTCTAGTCGCAATCTGAGCAGTTTTATCTCATATTGATTACCATGATAAGATATAGATTGCTCTGTTTTCTTAATTTTTAAACTAAGATCGGTGAAATAGAAATTTTTTATTCCTATATAAAATTAATGAACCTCTTCGCTCTTTATCAAGGCTGGTTTAGGTGTATATTTCTTGATTCAGTGGTAAATTAGATGATTGATTATCTTTCACCATGATGTGTGTGTGTGAGCACACACACACAGATATATGTATGTATGTATGTATATTTATACATATCAAAGAGATTACAATGTTGAAACACTAGTAGAAGATCTCAACAAGAGAGTCAAGATAAAGTTCATCAAATGAAAAAATAAGGGAAATGAGAAATCAACATATTTACAGCCTATATCTTGACTCTCTTGTTGAAATGAGAAATCAACATATTTACTTATCTGCCTAATAGAAGATAAGTTCATTCTACTTTGTTGTTTACGACCTAGATCTGAGTTACTAAACGAACGTTTGTAACTCACCACACCACGACGTTTGTTCTCCTCTGCATTCCTGGGTGACTTTGCTCCATAGTTTGTAAGGTGATGCCTAGGCGATAAGGGGCTGTCACTGGGACGCCTTACTTGTTCGCCTCGCCTAGATACCTTAAGGCGACCAGGCGCTCGCCTTGATGCCTTGGGCCCCTTTAATATTTTGAAAAACCCATTTTTAGGGCAGCCCATTTTCTTTTAGTGTAGCCTAATAGACTTAAACTTATCTTCTCTCTCTCTCTCTCTGTCTTCTCTGTCTCGATCAAGCTTCCTTAAAATGTATAAGACCTATACATACATACATATATGTGTGTGTGTGTGTCTATATACATATATTGATATATACATACATGCATACATACATACATATATGTGTGTGTGTGTGTGTGGTATGTATGTATGTCGCATAGTCGTTGCCTAGGCGATATGGACATTGGTGCCTCGCCTCGCCTTGCCGCCTTAGAAACTATGCTTTGCTCTTCGCAGTGCAATGGGAATTGTTTTATCACAGACTCTGCTTGTAATCCCTGTAAGCATGGTTTGGTTGTATCATCCCTTCTTACATATAGGGATCTAATTAGTTCAGTTGGAGACATCAATTGAATTAGAATTGGCTCTAGATTCTTCATGGTATTTGAGGATCAGGAGGATCAAGCCAATTCCGAATCAAGTTCATCAACATCTTCGTCCTCAGAGTTGGACCTGCAGTCCACTCATATTTAAACAACTATGTTGGATCTTAAGGGCTTCTCTGATCAGCTTATAAAACCAGTCCCCACAGAATCCTCATCAGTTATCGTCCTGGAGAAACTGACCGGCAAAAGATATTGAGCATGGATCCACCCCATCAAGACCGAAATTGACTGGGGTTCCTCATCCTCATCTGATGAGAAGCTTCTACCGGGCGGGAAGTAAAGAAAACTTATTTGTCTTGTCATGGCTAATCAATTCTATGGCTTCTGCTGTAAGATCAAATTTTATGGTCCTTGAGTCCTTCCCACAACAAAAGAAATACGTGATGTAGACTGTAGTAAGGGAAACCTATGGATCTACAGGAAATATTTCTCGGGCACAAGATCTCAAGGCAAAGATTTGACTGATATAACAAGAAAATATAACAGCCAATTACTATTACCTTAAAAAATCCAATCTGTTGTAGGACTTAGTTGCTATTGACCATGAAGTTTACCAGTGCTCCGCTGATGCAAGTTAAGACAGCAGAGATAAGGAAGCTGTATGCCTACTTGAGCTCTTTGTAGGCTTAGATCAGATATATGATGATATCATAATACTAAAGCATTAATTCTGAGGCAAAATCCCTTAACTTCTGTATGTGAAGTCGTTCCTATCATTCGGGATGAAGAATCTAGGTTTTTTGCAATGGTTAAAGAGCCTTCCTCATCACAGTTTCATGTTTCTAAACTAGCTGCTCTTGCTGTTCGCTACACAGGTTACAGAAACAAAAAAGGTTGCCCTATGTGTGACCACCGCAAGAAGCCAGGGCACACAAAGGACACTTATTGGGATCATAGTTATCAAGGCGTCGCCTAAGAATCGTCTAGGCGTCTGGGCGAGGTTCTGGGGACGCCAGATTGGTCGTCTAGCTTTTCCCGCCTAGAGTGTGACTTGCCATCGATTAAAATGCGGCAGGTTACTTGGAACAATCTGAATCACAGCAAAGATCCAAAAATTGAAGAGATGGTAAGAATGTGGAGTCGAATCGTATAATTGTCCAATTCAGGCACGATTCTTTCTTTGAAGATGCGAAGCGGGTCGGGCGAGGAAGTGAATTTGCCTCTCGTCGGCTTAATTAAAAGATTTACGAGTAATTTCCGGTTAAGAGTTAAGACCCATTAAAAAATAAAAGGAACCAGACTTTGTGGGTCGGGTCGGGTTGTGTACCCGCCTAAATTTCTTTTAGGAAACATAAAGGCTTTCAGATCTGCCCATAATTCATTTATGGAGATGGAGTAGTGGGGGTAGTGTACTGGGAACAACAACAACAACCCAGTTAAATCCCACAGGAGTAGGGTCTAGGGTCTGGGGAGGGTGTGTGTATGCAGACCTTGCCCCTACTCGAAAGTAGAGAGGCTGTTTCCAAAGAGACCCCCGGCTCAACGTCGAAAGTTGCATTGCTTGACTAACTGCTACTTCATTAATTAAAGAAGTGCAGACAGTTTAGAGATCCATTTTGATTTATTCCATCACACCTCAAAGCCAAAAAATGGTGAAATTTTTGCTCCATCGGAGATGATGGAAAAGGTAGTGTACTGGGAACTACTCTGAATATTGCAATTAATCTAATTACTCGTACTATTCTATACCTAAGATCATTTACAATGATAAAAAAAATATACGCCCTGCCCCAACTCCTGCAGCATTCCACTAACTTTCCACCCCGCCCCAAACTCCTGCAATGATATCGCCAAAAAAAAACCGCTGCCTCATTTCTTTTACAATATTCATTATTTTTAATTCAGAACTTATACAAATTTAATACAAATATTTTTTATTGATAAAAATAGATAAATAATAATAAATAAAATAGAAGTATAAATTCAAAATTAACAAAAGTAAATAAAAAGATTAAAATTAATTAAATATTAATTATTGAAAATTTGAAATTAAAAAATCAAATTGAAATAAGAATTCAAAATTGAATACATAAAAAAAGGGTTTCAAATTTAAAAATGAAATTGATAAAAAATTGAGGAAGAAGTAGCTAAAAAATGGAATTGGGGCAAGGAGGAAGGAGAAGCAAAAACGGATCTGGCCTAGGAGGAAGAAGAAGAGAAAGGGGGGGGGGATTGACCGGCACGGTGGACCGTCACAATGGACGGCCTCCGCATTTTTTCACCGGAAATGAAGCCCGGCTCTGCGCCGAAGGTGGGGCGCACGCTGCGGCAAAATTCGTGGCTCCTTGCCTGCAATGGGCATGCGGTGCGGCACCCCATCCTTTTTGGGGCGGCAGATTGGATCCCGGCGCCATTATAAATGCTCGAAAAGGTTTTTTTCTTCATCTTGTCTGGTATCTGACTTGGTGAGTTGCTGTTTTGAATTTTTTATACTCCCTATTTATATATTATCAACATTTTGGTACTTATTTTTTTAGTATCACTGTACTATTGAATCATTTTATTTATTTATTTCTTACTATGTGCGTTTACATCAGTACCTAGAAAATTATCAAGATTGCCATATCCCACTCGCCCAGGGGACGCCTAGGCGGGTTCCTAATTGCCTAGGCGTTTGGAAGGTGGTCTAGCGCCCAGTCTCACCTAGTCGCCATAACAACTATGATTGGGATCTCCATGGCAAGCCTTCTCATTGGAAACTCAAAAAGGGCCATACCCATGGTTACCGATTTGACATGGTTCAACCACTTTTCTGGTCCTATGCCATATGGGCGTTTGACTGGTTCTAAGTTGAGCTGATCGGTCCTATCTGACTTCAAAATTATTGGTCAACAACATTCTTTTAGGGATTTTACATATTAGCAATCACAATATCCAGTTTGGGTGATTCTATTGTAGTCCTCTGCTATCCTTGCTGGAATTAATGTAGTATATTTGTAGTTAATCTTCGTTGGATTCATTATTTAAGGTGACTGCTAAGAGTAACACTATCTCTGTATTTCCTGTGGCTTATTGTCCTTGAGTTTTCTTCTTATAGTGATTGTGACCCTAGTTCCTGACAATATCAGGTTGTTCGCAGAAGGATTGTTGCGGAGGGTCTTAGAGTTGACGGAAGGCATCTTGATGAAGTTCGACCAGTGTACTGTGAATCCGGTAATCTAGCTGCGCTGCATGGTTCGTCACTCTTTTCGCGTGGAGATACACAGGTTTGCATACACACCATTACCTTGTTAGGTGCTATTATCTTTTCCTATGTCATTTGTAATTTGGATTGCATATGCAGGTTCTTTGTACTGTTACACTTGGAGCCCCAGGGGATGCTCAACAGCTAGATTCCCTAGTTGGTCCTTCGACAAAGCGTTTCATGCTTCACTATAGTTTTCCTCCTTTTTGTATAAACGAAGTCGGCAAACGAGTTGGTCTGAATAGACGTGAAGTTGGACATGGTGAGATACTATAATTTGAAAATGAACTAGAGAATACAATCCACCAATTGCAATGTTTTCCATGCTCTATACTCCCTCCGTCCCTAAATGGATGCCACTATCATTATTACCGCTGCTCGATAAGTTTTGTTTGTTTGTACAATTTCATTGATCATTTGATAAAATAAAATGTTCTTGTCACCTCTTGTTTTGTAGAACTTTTGATGTATTTTTGAACGGTGTAACTTAAACGTTTTATTTCTATACCAACTTATAATTAAAATGATTTTGAAAATGTTGGGATTTTGCACCTTGTTTAGAGTGTGGTATCCATTGTGGGACGGAGGGAGTAGCAGTTTATATGTGTATGGCGTGTGTGTGTATGTATATATATATATGTGAATATGTATATATATGTGTGTGTGTGTGTGTCTATGCATATATACTTTGTGTATTTACACACACACACACACACATTAATTACTTCCACTGTCCACTAATGTCAATTGTTAATGGGGTGTGCAGTATTTTTGAACTTATATAAGTGAATAATTACTACCTCCGTCTAGAGCATTCGTCCTACTACCTCTGTCTAGAGTATTCGTCCCATAGTTACAGAATTCGTACTACCCAGCCGCGATTTCCGAATTGGTACGAATCGTACCCAATCGCAATTCGCCGGCGATCCGTTCGCCACCGGTACGACGATCCAAATCGCCATGGTACGGCGCTCCAATTTGCGGAGGTACGGCGATCCAGATGCCCTCGAACGTCGCACCAAGTCGGAGAATGTGGAGTACCAATCGCCGGCGGTCCAGCGATCCAAATCACAATTTCGTCTCTTCCGCGACCTTCCCTCTTCCAATTTGCGATTCGCGATTGCACTTCCCCAAAGTGTCGTGTGAGTCGTTCCCCGTCTCAATTTTTTCTTGATTGTTCCGTGACTTCTCTCCTTAAGTGTTTTGTTACTTTCGTATTTTCCTAGGCAGTCTCCTCATATACATATATGTCTCACCCTCTCAAGTCTCACCACAACCCAACCTAAAGTCCTCAATATCCAATATTCCAGTAATTTTTTCTCTCTTTTATCTATTTTTGTTTACTTATGTTTTTACTTTTGGTACGCCGAACCGAATACATGGTACACCGTACCGCTTCGTACCACTTCGTACCGAAATGAACCTACCCCCCTTCGTACCGAATTCGTTACCTCTAGCGAATTTCGTACCCGTACCGCGTACCCGTACCGAAACGTACCGCGATTTATGTGACTATGATCGTCCAGTTTGACTTTTTCAATTCAAACTCGACAAAGTTTAATCATCAACTAAATAATAATTGTATTTTATATTAGTACAAAAAAAAATCATTAGATTTATCTTAGGAAAACTTTCAGAAATTTGTTTCAATGTATTAATATGTAACACAAATTAAAGTTTGCCGAGTTTGACTCTAAAAAGTTAAACTAGACAAATGCTTTCAGACGGAGGGAGTATTACCTAGTGCGATTTTATTTTTTATTCTCTAGAACTTATCGAATTACTAAATCCTTATTTTATGTTAGGTACTCTTGCTGAGAAGGCTCTGTTAGGTGTTTTACCTCCTGAAGATGATTTTCCATACACTGTCCGTGTCAATTCAGAAGTTATGTCATCTGATGGGTCAACATCAATGGCAACTGTCTGTGGTGGTATGCCTTTCTCTGTAACTTGTTTCAGATTTGATAGGATTCAGTATGAAATTCCAATCTGTTGTTGTCCTGCCTCTTTTCCAACCTTACAGGAAGCATGGCTTTGATGGATGCTGGGATTCCAGTAAGACAACATGTAGCTGGTGTATCTGTTGGGCTTGTCAGTGATGTTGATCCATCAACTGGAGAAATCAAGGATTATAGGATACTAACAGATATATTGGTAAATATCATGCATTATTGTTAGCATGTGTAAAGATTTCCCTATTTTCGTATGACAATGCTGAATTGATCCCCTTTTTTCCCTCCCAAAAGCTCCATCCAATAGGGAAAAGAGGGGGATAAAGTGAAGACATTTGGGGATGTCTTTGTGCATCGACGTATTGTATGCTGGAGATTCATTTCCAACATCCCTTGTGTTTGGATTAAAGTTTTATCGCAATTATGCATATTTTCATTCATTCATATAGTTGGATAGGAATTGCATTTACATTTATTTTTATAGTTTTTGAGCCGTTATGGCGTTTTATTCTAAAAGATATATTCTTCATTCTGTTTTTCTTTATATAAATAGTATCTAAGACTTTGTGTATTTACATAAAGGGTTTGGAGGATCATCTAGGTGATATGGACTTCAAAGTTGCAGGCACGCGTAATGGAATAACAGCTATTCAATTAGACATAAAGCCTGCTGGAATCCCCCTAGACATCATCTGTGAATGTTTAGAACCTGCACTTAAGGGTCGACTTCAAATCCTTCAACACATGGAGCATGAAATTAATGCTCCACGCATTCAAGATGAAAAGTGTTCTCCCCGTTTAGGTGATTAGGCATTAAAATATTTATTTTGAAATTTAGCATATTTGTGTTGGCTTTATTGTCCTAGAAAAGTAGAAAGTATCTGACATGGACACTTATCTAATCATTGTTCATTGATAACGAGGCTTCTAATATATACTCCGTAGCAGTTACCATGCCCATATGATTTTTTAATCCATATGTTTTATAATTGATGTTTCAGCCACATTGAAATACAGCAACGATGCACTTCGCCGTTTGATTGGTCCTCTTGGTGCCCTGAAGAGGAAAATTGAAGAAGAGACAGGTAAATATTAAAAAAATTAGATGTAAACCTTGAAATATGTTTCATAAAGGTTTGTAGTAGTTATTTTTTGACAAGTGCTAATGAAATTATTCAGGTGCACGAATGTCAGTTAGTGATGGAACCCTTACAATAGTTGCCAAAAATCAATCTGTCATGGAGAAAATACAAGAGAAGGTACTTTTCTCCCTTTGTGATTATGGCCAATGATTTTGTAAATGTAGTAGTGACTACAAGGGTTTTCATCTGTAAACCCTCAAAATGCACTGTTTATTTCACAGGGCTATGCTTTTTATTTGGTTTGGCATCTTTCAGGTTGATTTTATCATCGGTCGCGAAATTGAAGTTGGAGGTGTCTACAAAGGTGTTGTGACCACAGTTAAAGAATATGGCGCCTTTGTGGAGTTTAATGGAGGCCAACAAGGGCTTTTACATATTTCAGAGTTGTCACATGAACCGGTAATTTCACTTGTGCAGTTGTACTTTGAGAGCAATAAAATGACATCAGTTTCTAACAATGAAGTCTACAAGGCTACTTTTCGTCTCGACATTGAATCTTCCTCTAAAGAAACTAAAGTGTTTGGTAATGCGCTTGTTTTTTGTTTTTGCTTTTGTTTTTTCTAAAAGTAGAAATAAGAAAATACATTTGGTTTTTTTTGTTTTGTTTTCAGTTTCCTACAAAAGCAGAAATTTTAAATTTATTGGCAACATTTTCTTGCTATCAGTGTTGTTGGAAACATGTTTTCTATTTTGGCATGGTTGATAAAACATTTAGAATGACTGTAGGAATAATATACCAGGAGTATATATTTTCATAACAAACTATAGAATTTGAAAACATGTTTAGGAAACAGTAAAGAATCCCTGAACATTTGTGTCAAGGAACCAATTCAACCACAAGCTCAAGCTTGTGGTTGTGGCCCAGGAAATGTGTTTTTTATATTCTAACACGCCCCCTCACGTGCAAGCGTAATCTTTTTTCGAGCTTCGCAAATGAAACTTTATTTTTTTTTAAAACTGGGTGGCGCTGAGTTTCGAACCCGTGACTTCTTAGTCAACAAGGCTCCGTTACCATGTCAAGGAACCAACTCAACCACAAGCTCAAGCTTGTGGTTGTGGCCCAGGAAATGTGTTTTTTATATTCTAACAATTTGAAACAAGGATCAGCATTAAATGCTTAGATGGTACATATCCTTGATTAACAAAATTGTTTATGCTGGTAAATATTTTGATTTCCAAGGATACAACAACAACCAAGCAAAAGATTATGCCATTGCCATCCCAAGAAGGATACATATTCAGTTCATTGTTATAACTTCAATCTCTTTTTGTCAAACATAATATGCCATCTCAAAAAGGTACCTGCATAATGGATGACTAGATGAAGCTTGAAACTGAATATTTTTTTTGTTAATAATTTTTTGTAGTTTTGTAAACTTTATTCCTCTATTGCCTCCTTATTCATGCATGTCTTTTACTTTGTCAGGTGTTGCGAGTTTCAGATGTAGTATCTGTTGGTCAGCAACTTTCTTTAATGTGCATAGGGCGAGATGTGCGTGGGAACATTAAATTATCTTTAAAAAATACTCTACCTGGAGCTACATCAAAAAAATATGATTCTGCCCGTGAATCTGCTTCTTGTACAAGGCAAGCATCTAATGTACGGGATCCTTTCGTTGAAGTCTGTAATGAGCAGCAGGGAAAGCGAGATGCTAATGTGAGGGATGATGTTTTGGAAAGTGATGCAACTGCAGGGCAGACCTCCACCCCGGGAACACCAGCATTCTTGATTCGTAGCGCTGCAGAATGTGACGAAGAAGAAAGAACTGCCGGAGTAAATTTTAATTGCAAAATTAAGAGTGATAACTCTAGACTTGATTCTAAATCCGAGCTGGGAAACTCTTTGGAACAAACCGATACCAACTTATCCCCAAAATTAGCCTTTTTTTCCGGAAATGCTAAGAAAATCAGAGAAGGAAGTGAAGAGAAAAAAACGTCTGCAGCACCAAGGCTGTCTAAGAGTTACTTGAAGAACAAGGATGCTACTGTTGAGACTCCTTTATCAGCAAATAAGTTAAAACTTGGAATGAAGCTGACAGCCAAGGTGCATCAGATTCGAGCACTTGGTCTAGTGCTTGATTTAGGCGGTGGGATCCGTGGAATGTATCGCTTTGAGGTATGTCAATATTATCCTTTATCAGGTATCTGAGTTCTCTTGGTAATCTTTTTATGAGGATCTACATCTTAATTTCTCTTATGTGAGTTTTGGTTAGATAGGAGCTTCTTGAGTTCTAGAATCTTACCAAGGATACGACATTGGATATGTTGGTGATAATTCACTTATATCACAGAATCTTATGTGAGTTTTGTGTAATTGGATTTACTTATATCACAGAATTTTAATAGGTGTTGTTAACGAGTTGGGTGGTGCAAAGTGCAAATTTGTTCAACGATGTTATAAATTCCGTAGCGGGGTCTAAGGGGCGGCAGCCCCTGGCGGGCTGGTGTCAAAATGATGTACATTCAAATGTATAAAATTATACATTCGAATGTAATATTTATCTCCAACATTCTTTACGAAAAGGCCCGATACATTCAAATGTTTTGCGATAAAATGCGATAGTTCGCGTAGAAAACCATTAAAACGATATGTTTAACATAGTTGTGGCATACATTTGGATGTTGTGGCCAAACATTCTGATGAATATCTGGGCCCAATAGACGTAAATGAACGGCCCAATCCATAGGAGTGGCTTGAGCCGGTGCGGAACAGGGACTGGGGAACAGGATACAAAAGGCCCAGTTCCCGTTGATAGGCCCAAACGAATAATACAGGTGGATAATACAACACCAAGTCGTGGGAAGATTAGGGGTTGAGATGCTAACCACCACGATCGACATACAAGAGATAATGGTCGAGGTTTATGCGCACGATGAGTGCCCATTATGTTTGTAATCGTAACGTAGTATAAATAGAAGAACCCTCTATTGTAAACCAAGCAAAAAACTAGTATAAACAAAGTAATAGAAATACATCGAGATTGATTGTTATAATTGTTATTATGCGTTCTTCGTCGCCATATTTGTTGGGCTAAATCCCATCCTTGGTGCTTTCATTGAGAGTCTTAGGATTGAGAGATTGTGAGTCGAGAGTATGGTCGGTCGAAGAACGAGAAACTCTAGGCGTAGTGCTGTCAGCAGTCGTCGGCCTCGATGAGAGTCCCTGAACAGCCGATCGCCACACAGCCTAGCAGCGTGGAAGTGGCATTAAACAACCTTGCCAACATGATGGCAAATGTTATGGGCAGACATGAGACTCTTCCTGGTCCTTTTGGGTCCAAAGGCAGATTCCCCAGACATGGCCAGAACAGATGAATCCCATTCTGCAAGAACTCCATATTATGGAGGAGATTGATCAAGAGAGAGAGGCGGTAAGAAGACGTCTCGAGGAAGAGTTGGCCTGGAACACCCGGGAATGCGGCAGGCTAACTTGGGCAAAGACTCAGGACCCGATTGCCCTTCGGGCAGCCAGCCAGCTACGCCGTGCGGAGACTGGGAACCCCAAGGATTCGGTCTTTGAGCGAATGACACAGGGAAGGATACCAGTCTGTGCACGACTGGGGAAGAATCCGGAGAAAGCTCTGCTCGGATGGGAACCACCCCAACCGAGCATGAGTTGAGCCAAGGCAAGTTGCAGAAGCGGACACCTTTGAAGAAGCTATGGTCCGGGCAGGGAGACATGTCACCCTAGAAGAACGCAAGGAGGAAAAGAAGGAGAAACCCCGGAAGGAGGGGAAAAACAAGCAGAAGGGGAAGCCACAGAAAAGGAAAAAGTCAGGTTTCCAGATGGGCCAAAGGGTCAATCTGCCGGAGTCTGCCAGATCTTCTAATACCTCCAAATCGCATGATCCGGTTTTCACTATCCCAATGGCGGAAGTGATGACGCACGCTGCCCAGCAGGGTCTTATGACCTACCCCACTTACTCCCAGAAGGTGTGTAATGTGGAGGAAAGAGGAAAATGGTGCACGCATCACTGGAAGAATGATCATAATACAGAAGATTGCTACCCCCTGAAGAACGAGATGACCCGGCTGATCGGGAGAGGACATCTGAAGAAGTTCGTCCAGTACCAGAGGATAATCACAATTGATATCATGGGCTTGCAGATCCACAAAACATTGGTGGATACGGGAAGTTCCGTGAACATCTTGTATATGGACACCTTCAAGGCTTTGGGGTTGACTCGAGAGGAACTGCTGCCCATTAAGACTCCCTTGACCGGGTTCACCGAAGATTTTAATGGGCCAGAAGGTGTTATCACCCTACCAGTTGAGGTAGGTGACACTAAGGCGAAAAGGTTTTTAGGCGTGGAGTTCGTGGTGGTTGGGATCGTCTCTAGCATGGACGTAATTTTAGGCAGGCCGGGCCTGGAGGACCTGGAGTGTGTGATCCCACCCAAGCACTTATGCGTCAAGTTTCCAACACCATCAGGGGTAGGTGTGACCAAGGGAGAGAGTATCCCGGGCATGGTATCTCAAGGCAACCAAGGGGCCAGTTAAGTTCGACACCTAGGTAGGAAAAGTAACCTCTCAGTTACTAACTCCAGACCCGGGTGATTGCAGTGCTTAGGAGGTTCAAGAAGGTTTTCGCCTAGAGTCCGACAGACATGCCCGGACTCAACCATAAGATCGCTGTCCACAGACTGAATGTCCTTCCACGAGCAAAATCGATTACGCAGAAGAGAAGGAATCTTGCTCAAGAAAGAAGAGAGTTTGTCAAGGAGGTGGCCACGCTACAGAGCATTGGACACATTCAGGAGGTCCAATACCCAGAATGGTTGGCCAACGTAGTCCTTGCACCTAAGCCTCCATCTTGGAGGATGTGTGTGAATTATACAGACCTGCCGTGTCCGATGGATCCATTCCCACTGCCGAACATAGATCAAATGGTGGAAGAGACTGTAGGATGCGAGTTGATGAGTTTCATGGATGCATTCAGCGGGTACCACCAGATCCAGATGCACCCGGTAGATGCAAAAAAACGAGTTTCATGACTCTAGAAAGTTTGTACTTTTATCTGGTTATGGCGTTTGGATTGGGGAATTCCGCAGCCACATATACCCGGATGGTGTCACAAATGTTCAGACGAGTCCTGGGCCGGATCATGGAAGCTTATGTTGATGACATGATTGTCAAATCGAAACAGGCCCGAGACCATATCCGGGACTTGGAAAAGGTCTTCAGGATCATGATGAAGGTGAATCTCCGACTCAACCCTAAGAAGTGTACCTTTAGGGTACAAGGGGGGAAATTCCTGGGACACCTGGGAAGTCGAAAGGGGATTGAAGCAAACCCGGAAAAGGTGAAAGCGATCTTGGAGATGGAACCCCGAAAGACAACCAAGGAAGTACAGCAGCTGACTAGGAGGTTGGCGGCCTTAAACAGATTTTTGTCCAAACTGGCGGAAGAAGGCGACATTCGAATGGACACAGGAGTGTCAGGAAGCATTTGACGAATTGAGAAGATACCTGGCCAATCCCCCCGTACTGTCCAAACCTGAGCTAGGTGATACTTTGATTTTATACTTAGCCATTTCAGACTGTGCAGTGAGCACAATTATTATACGAGAAGAGGACGGAGTACAACACTTGGTCCTCTTTGTTGTATTGTTATCGATTAGCTGCTCTCTTCTCTTTGCCGGCTTCTAATCGCAAATTTGCAACTTGTAATTTTTATCGACTATTTGTCCTACATCTACCCGACCCAATCCAACCCAACCAGGCCCAGATTTCATTTAAATCTTATAAAGAAATCCCTATCCTGTGCTTTAAGCTTCCCGTGTGCATATTTGGTCAGGTTTTGGTTATGATTTTTATTAAACTTACAGTTTTGTATTTTTCGTTTATATTTATTTGTTTACATTTTTTTGTGGAATTCTTATTACATAAATAAATTTAAAGTCATTTCATACAATATATTCAATTATCAATGGAATTATTTATTTTAGAATAATAGTTCTCCTACTTATTCTAAAATCAATAATTCCATTAATAATTGAATATATTGTATGAAATGACTTTAAAATTTTATTTTTATGTAATAAGATTTCCAAAATTAAAAGATTTAGATTATTGAAAATAAAAAATGTAAACAAATAATTATAAACAAAAATACAAAACTGAAAGTTGTATATATATCTGTGTGTGTGTGTGTATTCGCCTTTTTTTGTTTGCCATTTGACCACCCGCCACACGCCACGCCTCTCGCCACAGAAAAGGTCATCTCACCCGCCACTCACCAGTCGCCTTTCATATCTATGCGTACACTTCACAAGATGTTTGTTGTTCATATTTGGCCAAAACCCATATTTCCATCCGGGATCACTAGAGTTGGCTTTTCATTTGGGGTCCTTGGATGGATCGTCGTAGTCACGAATATTGTTATATCCCATTTGTTCTGAATTAAATAATAAGTTAAGCTCATGAATATGACATTCTAGCTAGTTCCAAACTCAAAGTCAGCCCCACTGTGCGAAAAATAAGAGCCTAGAATGTCATTACCCTTAAAAAACTAAAATGAGCAAAACAAAAAAAGACCCAAATATTAGCGAAAAAAGCAAACTGAAAAGTTAAGAGTATAATATACTTTAGTACTTTACTGAAATAAATTGAAGAAAACTAAAAAAATTATGAGTATAATATACTTTACTCAACCAAATTAATGAAACCTAAACCAATTTAAGACTAAAATATACTTCACTCATAAAGAATCAAAGATAAAGAAATCTTACCCATGATAGGGAGCATGTGAATCACTGAATCCTGGAGAGAAGAATCAAAGATGGCGATGAAAGAGACGTGGGGATTTGAGAAGGTTACAGTCGACTGCGTCGCAACAGAGAAGGGATTAAGTCGACTGAGAAGTGAGAAGGGTTAAAGTCGAGGAAGGCAAATGTTTTATGGAGTATTAAATTTAATAAAATTTTGGTCGGGTCGGGTCAATCAGGTAGGTTCTGTCACTGATTAATTGTCGCCTAAGCGTGCCTAGTCATCGCTTTGCTTGCCCGGACGACTAGTCCACCCAAGTCGCTAGTCGAGAGCAAGTCTCCACCGAGAAAAACTACCGGACGACTAGTTGCCGACTAGTCGACGACTTGATAACAATGAGCGTTATAACCCCTCCCGAATTTCCAACAACATATGGGCGTCTAGAGGTCTATGATTTTTTAAGTGTTTTTTTGTAAGAAAGTATGGAGGCCTATGATTAGAGTATTAGGTTAGACTTTTGTGCCTTAGTTTGTCATTTGTGCTTGTGTGCTTGTTTTTGCCCATGTGCTTGCTTCTTTCGTGCAACATCCTTTGTCATTCCTTTTTCCTTTACATGTTTTTCAGTCTTGCTTTCGTTTTGCGTAGGGGGGTCTGTTGGAAGCAGCCTCTCTACTTCCCGAGTAGGCCCTCGCATAAGATTCCGAGAATATCAAGAATGAAGAATAATAAATGGACAATCATTTTTTTAGAGAAAATAACACCATTTATTTCTACTATTACAAGACAATAAATACAAAAAAAATGGTATGTATAAGTGCTAAATACCCAACACTCTCAAACAGACCTTCTTCACATCTTAAACGCAAATGTTATTCTGAGTAACTAATTACCAGTCATTTCTTGCACTCACCAACAGCCTTGGTGGTATTCTTGTGTGAAACTGCTCTCTTATGGTCATATCCTCGCTCATAATTTCTCTCCATACATGACTGATAATACTCCGCCATATGCAAGTGCAGCCACAAAATTTGGCATGTTGTCAACATTCCTAAATTGTTGCCGAATTTGCCTTTTTCTTCTCTTCTAAACTCTACCAGCAGTATTCTTTGATCCATTTTCTTTTTACTTTTTTCTCTCATTTGATTATTTTAACTAAAACCCAACAATTTGGATGATTCACATAATTATATTGTCTCCTCTGTTTCTTTTGTAGCCTGGTTCCAAGCGTGTTTTTGAGGTCGGTGATGTGCTGCTGGTGAAGTGTTCAAGTTTTACAAGCAAGGGAGTTCCAGTCATGTCATTGTTTGAGGATTAGCAAGATAAGTTCTGAAGACAAGCTGATGTTTTAGTGCAAGGAATCTAGAGAACTGCTTTATTGCTACACAATGCTCGATGGCATAAAATTTTGCCCAAGGACCTCCAGGTTTTGTTCAAGTAATAAAATAGGCTAGCTATACTACCTAGTGTCTGAATTTTGCTTCTTTGTGCTCTTAACTTGGAACATTATTTCCTTTTATGATCTATTCTTGAAATATTCATTTTAGTATTTTAAAGGATGGGCGATTTTAAATAAAAAGAAAATTTTACATGAGCTTAAACAGTTAATGTGGAATTCTGTAAGCTCTCTATGTCACCGCCTCACCGGGAATCGGATCATCTGGGCGGACAACCTAATTTGAGGTGGGCGGGTCACGCTTATCTTGCTAATTTGGTGAGTTGGTTAAATTGGCCTTCATAATTAGTACTCCCTCTGTCCCTCTATATTTCCGCTTTCAAAGTGGCACAAATACCAAGGTGAGGAGTAAAGTGACACAATTATCCCTTGTTATCCAAAATCTCAAATGTTCTGTCCTCCCCTTCCTCGGTCGTGTATATGCTGCTCAGCTAGCCCCACCCAAGCTTCATGCCCCACATCCAATCTTGATAGCTTCCACCATCTTGAAGGACATAGGTTTCGAACAAATCTATGTTTCGAACAAATCTAAGGGGGGCGTATTCAATCAGGATTTTATTAGATTTTTTTAGATTTCAAAAAGTTAGCGGCTTTGAAAAATCTGTAGAATCCATGTAGAGTTTTGTTGATTTTTTGTAGAATCCTTGTTGAGTTTGAAAAATTTGTAGAATCCATGTAGAGTTTAAAAAAATATGTAGAATCTAAACATTACTTCTGTTCGAAAGTCCAACAGTAAAGTCCATTTGTGATGTCGATCACCGTACAACCACAGTAGGAAACGAACAACGCCGGTGGATGACGGGGCGACGCACATGAACGGGTGGACGGAAAATTCACGAAGCGACGGAGGGACGAACGGATGCTGGAGAACGGATGGATGGACGGGCGCTGGATGACGAATGGATGGAAGTTCAAAGAAATCTAGGGTTGTGAGAAGAGATTTTCATGAGTGAAAGTGTAAGCATTTTTTGAGAGAAAATCCAACAAAATCAATAGACTATTAAAATTCATAAACTCTTGAATACCTCAAAATTTTTAAAGACTTTTGAAAATCCAAGTTGAATACTTCAATATTTTTAAAGACTTTGGAAAATCACTATTAAATACCTCAAGATGTTTAAAGACTTGAAAATCCTGATTGAATACTCTCAGATTTTAAAAATCCAAAAAAATCCTACACTCTCGGTTCAATACACCCACCTAAGTTTTGCTCATTTATATTTATGTTCTCTTAATTTTTTACAACTTATTTGATTTTTTTGCTATAAATTTATGGAGTACTCCATTCGTCTCAATTTAAGTAGCAAGTTAGTACTGTATTTACGATGTTTGATTAAAAATATGTTTAATTCATTTAATTACAAATAAAATGTGGGATTGAAAAATATATGAGTATATATTTAAGGATCACATAAAATTTTTACAAATAACGAAATGACTACATTAAAACTTTTACAAATTAAGAAATGACGTAACTCTAGTATTTTATTAAACAAAAAAATAAAAATGATTAAAATTTGATCTTGTAAATGGTAAAGTTCTAATTAAAATGGGATAAAAAGTATAATTAAAATTTGTCTTAAATAGTTTTTATTAAAATACTCCATCCGTCCCCCAGTTTTTGTCCACTTTTGACTTTTGAAACTATTCATCTAAGCACTTTGACTCATCAAATTTTCTCAATGTGTAAGCCTAAATATAGTCATGTGTTATCTTGTTTGATTTGTCTTAACATATAGATTATTAATATATAATTTTTTAATATACAAATTACAAGATAAAATAGATTAAAGAAGTGCATTGGATGGGGTGTAAAAATGAAAGTGCACAAAAACTGGGGAACGGAGGAAGTATGTTTCATTAGAGCTTCACTAGTGATTCCTCTTCTATTCTCCTCCAAATCATCACTTTTAAGACCACATTATTTTTTTCTTTTTCCTCACCCCTTCTAATCACTCCTCTCTTTTCTTTTCTTTTTCTTGTAAAAAAAAGAGTTTGGTTCATGCTGAGGAAAGAGAAAGGAAACAGGAAAGAAAATTAGGGGAGAAGGGAATGATTGCCCCTGAATTACTCTGTTTGTTTGGTCCAGAACAGGAAAGAGAATACAATTTTCTTTGTTCGTGTTTGGTTCAAAACAGGAGAATCAAATTTTTTTACACATCTATGATTAATTTGTTAAAAATAATACTTACTCCGTATTTCTTTTATCAAACATACAATTAAACAAAATTCACACATCACAACATACTTTCAAGATGATAAGTTTATTTCAAAAAACATTACTTGTCTAAGACTTCAAAAACACAACAATGCCAACAATACAAGGACAAAAAAAACAATTGTAATGAACAAGACAATATCGTCCAAAATAAAGACACCAATACAATATTAAAGAGATGTAATTGGGAAATAATGGGAAATAAAGAGGGAAGTAAATGAGGTGGAGGGTGGCGTGTGAAGTGAATTTGGGGGTTACCTCTCTAAATTTCATTCCATTGTGTAAATTCTGACCTAAACGGTACGCGTTTCCCCCCGAACTTGCCCGAATTGAAAACTGATTGCGTTTTCGGAAATAAACAGTCAAAACTAAATTTATAATAACTTCAAACTATTTTTCGCAAAACATTATTCTCCAACTTCCGGGTCCATCCCTTAATTAATTTATCTAATTAATTAATGTTGAGAGGCCCGTTATTAAAAACATCTTTTACTAATTAAAATACATTACCTTTTTGAAATCCATCTAATGAGATCAAAATTTAAATATTAATTATTTTAAAATAATGAGTCCCAATAAATGAATAATATTTATTTATTCAAAATACTGGCTAATTATTAGGCCGGTTTGTGGGACGTTACAGATACTCAATCAGATTTTTAAAATTTTCAATCTTAAAGCGAGGATCACAAAAAATATCAATTTTATAAAGGAAAAATTACCCAAAATAATCCTAACTTTACCCGGTCTTTCAAAAATAATCCCACCTTTCACTGTGATGCATAATAATCCCAACTTTAATGAAATTTGCCAGTTTTGGGTTGCCGTTAAGTTTCTAACGGAGGGTTAACGGAAATGCCCGTTTTAGGCAACAAAATGAAAGTTGAGATTATTTTTGATGAATTTTTGTTTTTTAATTTTTTATGAAATTTTCATTTAAATTTTTTAAATTACTTTCTACCTCCATCATCATTTCTTTTTCCTTTTTTAAATATTACTCTTAGTTTAAAAAATAAAAACAATAGATATAAAAAATGAAAAAATGAGAAATGTAACTAAATTGATGCAAAAATAATAAAATAAATAAGGTAATCAATGGAAACTAACTTGAAATTGGAAAAAGTAAAATAAAAATATACGGGTGGGTTTTAATATTTTAGGCATTATACAAAGTATTAACATATCACTTCTTATTTTTTAGAAAAAAATATCTATAATAATTCCAACTTTACCGAACGACTTGTTCTTTTAAAAAATAAGTAGTACATTAAGACTCCGTATAGTGTGTAAAATGTTAAACCCACAACTCCATATATATTTATTTTATTTCTTACCAATTTCTGTTTAATTTCTATTGATTACATTATTTATTTGATTAATTTTGTATGATTTTAGTTATTTTTCTCATTTTCATTATTTTTTATATCTATTTTTTTTCTAAGGTAAGAATAATCTTTAAAAAAGAAAAAGAAATGGAGGTTGAAAGTAATTCAAAAAATTTAAATAAAAATTTCAAAAAAAATTAAAAAACAAAAATTCATCAAAAATAATCCCAACTTTCATTTTGTTGCCTAAAACGGGCATTTCCTTATCCGTCCGTTAGAAACTTAACGGCGACCCAAAACTGACAAATTTCAGTAAAGTTGGGATTATTATGCATCACAGTGAAAGGTGGGATTATTTTTGAAAGACCGAGTAAAGTTGGGATTATTTTGGGTAATTTTTCCTTTTATAAATATCAAGAATGTACAAATAATAAGCACATCATTAATCATATATCCCTCATAGGAGAGACATAGGGGTACAACTCTGGATCAGCTAAACTTTCACTAAAACATGTTTCAATTGTAACACACTCGTTAAAAAATCTATTTGTAGTTGGTTGGTAAACATGCAAGAAAGTAAGAGTTGCGTTATTAAAAACTTCAAATACAGCATTCAATTTTTCAAAAATAACAAATTCATTCAGGTAGTGTTTGGCAACTAGCATTTCATTTCAATTCATGCATTTCAATTCTGAAATTTGAAATCTTGAATTTCAAATGACAAGGGGTGGTGCATGGATTTCAAATTAAGCTTTGTTATGAATGAGAAGAATTTGACTCAAATCCAAATTCAAAATTTTTAAGTTTTCCAAACATGGAATTTGAGCCAAATCCAGATTTGAAATCCAAATACATGTTCCCAAACATACCATCAATGCAATCATAAAACGAAGTTCATTCCTAAGAAATGCAGCAAGTTCCTCTTTGTAGCTTAGAATCTGTGCTATCAACTTGTATGTACTATTCCATCTAATGGTGATATCTTTGGGCTTTGGCAAATGTTATTGGTCTTATATCCCTAAATTTACAGTATAACTTCCAGGCTTTCGTTTGAATACGACTACCCCAAATCTTTTTAATTCCACTTCTAATATTCGTCAACCCCCCCATTGCTTCTAATCCCTATTGAACACATAAATTTAAAACATGACAAGCACATCTTTGATGCAGAAATCTACCCATACTCGTAGTAGGGGGAAATTTATTTAAGTCTAGGAATAACAGCAGTATTATTAGCAGAATTATCAAAACCAAATGCAAACACTTTATTAACTAATTTGTATACTTGCAGAATACGCTCAAGCAATAAAAATATATTTTCAGCAGTATGAGATTCATTGAAATCACGAAATGAAAGAACATGTTTATGGATATTCCAATTACTATATATCCAATGACAAGTAACACCCATATAAGACAAATTATGATATGTTTCACTCCAAATATCAGAACAAATAGTAATAACACGAGAATTAAAATTGAGAAAAAAATTGCCAAATTCATTTTTTCAACTTTATATTGTCTAATAGTTTCTCTCTTAAATGTTTTTCTTGAAAAACCTCTTGCTTGAGGGTTTAATGCATATTGACAATAATCAATAAATCCAAGTTTTTCAGAAAATATGTATGGCAAATTTTCTTCACAAATCATTTCGGCCATTTTTTGCTTATTTTGCTCGTTTCTATAAGCAAAAAGGCCGCCCTTACCTCTGTTTTCAAACCGAGAAATATGGGATTGTACTTCTTTTCGTCCCTTCTTTTTCGCCACGTATTTGGCGTACTCCACAGGATGATTCCCTAAAGAACATATTGTCATGGCTGCATGCTTGAACCTTTACTTCAAAAGTGTGCGGCCATCGGTTGAAATGAAGGGTAACAACTGTGTTATCCGGAAAACAACCATGAACATGTTCCGGAAGCGCCTACAACAGATCCAAAGAACTTGTGAGTTACTCCCTCCGTCCCGGAGTATTCGTCCAGTTTTAACTTTTGGAACTGTTCATCTAAGCACTTTGACTCATCAAATTCTCTCAATGTGTAAGCCTAAATATAGTCATGTGTGATCTTGTTTGATTTGTCTTAACATATAGATTATTAATATATAATTTCTATAATTTTTTAATATACAAATTACAAGATAAAATGGATTAAAGAAGTGTATTGGATGGTGTGTAAAAATGAAAGTGGACAAATACTCTGGATGGAGGGATTATAAAATATTACCTAAAGAAATTAAAAAATTAAATAATATAGTGAAAAATCTATGGACAAACTAGTCGCTCTTTGANTCTAAGCACTTTGACTCATCAAATTCTCTCAATGTGTAAGCCTAAATATAGTCATGTGTGATCTTGTTTGATTTGTCTTAACATATAGATTATTAATATATAATTTCTATAATTTTTTAATATACAAATTACAAGATAAAATGGATTAAAGAAGTGTATTGGATGGTGTGTAAAAATGAAAGTGGACAAATACTCTGGATGGAGGGATTATAAAATATTACCTAAAGAAATTAAAAAATTAAATAATATAGTGAAAAATCTATGGACAAACTAGTCGCTCTTTGAACTTGGGATCTCGCTCGAGGATTACTGAAAAATCAAACATATTGATTTTTGATTTTTGTAGTCCGGCTATGGAACAGGAGAACGAGAAAACCCTAATGCTAGTTGCATATTTAAATAGACCAAGCCAGGCGGAAAGGTAGAAGACAGAAAATCGTAATACACGTGAATTTTTAGAAGAGTCCCGCCATTTCATTAAAATACGAGACGTGAAAAAATTAGTCCGACATTTAATGAAAACAAGAACAGTGCGGCTAAAAAATTTAATATCTCTAGAACAGTCCCGCCATTTCATGACAACTGGAACCATAATAATTAACAATTAATATCTCAGAACAGTGCGACTAAAAAGAATACCTGTTGGTGGTAACAATTAAGTTCGGACTGTAGAAGTGGTAGCAATTGAGTTCCGAGTTTAACTGTAGCGTAGTCGTACCTGTTGGTGGTAACATTCGGACCGTAGTAAAGGTAGCAATTGAGTTGCGAGTTTAACTGTAGCAAAAAAAATGCCTCTTAGTGGTAACCATTAAATTCGAACCGTAGTAGTGGTAGCAATTGAGTAACGAGTTTAACTGTAGCTAAAAAAATACCTGTTGGTGGTAACAATTAAGTTCAGAACGTAGTAGTGGTAGCAATTGAGTTATGAAGCGTAATCGTACCTGTTGGTGGTAACAATTAAGTTCAGACCGTAGTAGTGGTAGTAATTGAGTTACGAGTTTAACTGTAGCTAAAAAAAATACATGTTGGTGGTAACAATTAACTTCGGAACGTAGTAGTGGTAGCAATTGAGTTCCGAGTTTAACGGTAGCGTAGTCGTACCTCTTGGTGGTAACAATTAAGTTCGGACCGTAGTAGTGGTAGCAATTGAGTTACGAGTTTAATTATAGCGTAGTCATACTTGTTGGTGGTAACAATTAAATTCGGACCGTATTAGTAGTAGCAATTGAGTTACGAGTTTCTTAGGAATGAACATCGTTTTATGATTGCATTGATGGTATGTTTAGTAATGAACTTCGTTTTATGATTGCATTGATGGTATGTTTGGCGGGACTCTTATAAAAATTCACGTCTATTACGATTTTCCGTCTTCTACCCTTCTGCCTGGCTTGGTCTATATAAATACGCAACTAGCATTAGGGTTGTCTCGTTCTTCTGTTCCGTAGCCGGACTGCAAAAATCAAAAATCAATATGTTTGATTTTTCAGTAATCCTCGAGCGAGATCCCAAGTTCAAAGAGCGACTAGTTTGTCCATAGATTTTTCACTATATTATTTAATTTTTTAATTTCTTTAGGTAATATTTTATAATCCCTCCATCCAGAGTATTTGTCCACTTTCATTTTTACACACCATCCAATACACTTCTTTAATCCATTTTATCTTGTAATTTGTATATTAAAAAATTATA